AACAATTAGAGGTTTTGTTAACATCTGTCATACCAATGTAAAGTTTTGACATTCAAAAAAAGATGAATGAGAGATAAATACTTGTACGGAAATCTGACCCACTTTTTGTGTGTGTGTAGAAACATCATGTTTTCCATTTGATCTTATGTCCACTTTTGATTTCACCTTCCTGGTGCATCGTGTATTGTATTGTATTGGCATTATGTTATTCAATAATGTTATAGAGGTTTTTTATATACACGCAGCTTTAAATAAACACACAAACCACAGGATCTTTTCTCCAATTATTGTGTCTCGAATATTTCCTTGATATCTTTTCATATGAATTTTGACATTAAGTGTTTACGGAATAGCAGAATCAGAATTCGAGATAAATTTGATTTAAAATGACATCTTCACAAATACATGTTTTTCTTTCAAACACCTTCCATGATAATTAAACTGAACTATAGTCCAAAAAGTGCCGAGAGAGTGTTTCACGACACCAGTCTGCCTCAGGGCACTGGTGCTTCTAAACAAAGACTAAAGAGATGTTTTTATGCTTGAATATCGAAAGAATCGGAATCAAAATACATGAACTGGCGGAAAGCCAGAAACAGTTATTCTTCCTAATAATATGTCAACAACGGTCTTTCTAGTCGTGTCATTAACCCTAAATCCTTGTCCGTTTGTATTTAACCGACTCTTTCATTAGTTATGTTGAGAAAGGGCTGTAATAATCCTTTGTCGTGATATGGTGTTATATATCTATATTGAACAAAAATCCAATGATGACGCCGTATTTGAATACCAAGAGTTATATACCATTGGCCAATGATGTAGAGTCAGGTAAGACACGACTTGGTTTGGAAATGACATGACAAGCACGGTACCCCTAAAACATGCAGTTCAGCTTCACATAACTTTAAGGATTACCCCAGTTCTAAAGTTCGACAGGCGAAAAACATGCAGACGTCGGGCTGAACATGCTGAAAGCGCCGCTTCAATGAAGAGCATTGACATCAGAAACGACACTGTGTGTCGCCATTTGTATTAGTTATTACGAAAATGATACTCTATCTTGATGTTTGTATCAAAAATTACAAAAATGGCGCTTTAGTTTGGCGTTTGTATTAATCATTGCAAAAACGGTACCATACTTCGGCCTTTGTATCAACTATCACAAAAATATGGAGTACAGCAAGCACAAATACGTGACATCTATTATCTAAGAGCCATTGATCTTCCAAAACTCCCTATGTGAATATCGACTTATGATGTTGCTTTCCGGTGAGTCGATAAAAACTTAACCCTGAATTCAACTGTAATTGAGATACAAAAATTGAATATGGCAAGTCAGTCTGGTCGTCTATGTGGTTGTCAATTGACAATTTAGTCAATATTTATAAATATTTTTTCGTGTCAAAAATTCTTTCAAGTAATTGTAACTCTGTAATCGCATTTGAACTTTACATTTCTTTATATTGGCACAATCTTACGCTTTCCATAAGAACTTGAATTAAAAATACAATGCTTATTTTTTCTATAAAGTGATTTTTTTTGTTATTTATACCTTGGTAATTGTGTGACCATATTACAAAAAGTTACCATTGCTGTCAGTTCACCGCTATCAATATAATAAATCTAGAGACGTGTTCAGACATCATGGCCGTCGGTGTGATATATTTAGAGACGTGTTCAGACATCATAACCGTCAATATGATAAATTTATAGACGTGTTCAGACATCATGGCCGTCAGCATACTAAATTTATAGACGTGTTCAGACATCATGTCCGTCAGTATAATAAATTTATAGACGTGTCCAGACATCATGTCCGTCAGTATAATAAAGCTATAGACGTGTTCAGACATCATGACTGTCAGTATGACATATTTAGAGACGTGTTCAGACATCATTGCCGTCAGTATGATAAATCTATAGACGTGTTCAGACATCATGATTGTCAGTATAATAAATCTACAGACGTGTTCAGACATCATGACAGTCAGTATACTAAATCTAAAGACGTGTTCAGACACCATGGCCGTCAGTATGATAAATCTAGAGACGTGTTCAGACATCATGGCAGTCAGTATGATAAATCTAGAGACGTGTTCAGACACCATGACAGTCAGTATAATAAATCTAAAGACGTGTTCAGACATCATGGCAGTCAGTATAATAAATCTAGAGACGTGTTCAGACATCATGGCAGTCAGTATGATAAATCTAGAGACGTGTTCAGGCACCATGGCAGTCAGTATAATAAATCTAAAGACGTGTTCAGACATCATGGCCGTCAGTATAATAAATCTATAGACGTGTGTTCAGGACTTGTTCAGGCACCATGACAGTCAGTATAATAAATCTAAAGACGTGTTCAGACACCATGGCCGTCAGTATAATAAATCTAGAGACGTGTTCAGACATCATGGCAGTCAGTATGATAAATCTAGAGACGTGTTCAGACACCATGACAGTCAGTATAATAAATCTAAAGACGTGTTCAGACACCATGGCCGTCAGTATAATAAATTTATAGACGTGTTCAGACATCATGGCAGTCAGTATAATAAATCTATAGACGTGTTCAGGCACCATGACAGTCAGTATAATAAATCTAAAGACGTGTTCAGACACCATGGCCGTCAGTATAATAAATCTAGAGACGTGTTCAGACATCATGGCAGTCAGTATAATAAATCTAGAGACGTGTTCAGACATCATGGCAGTCAGTATGATAAATCTAGAGACGTGTTCAGGCACCATGGCAGTCAGTATAATAAATATAAAGACGTGTTCAGACATCATGGCCGTCAGTATAATAAATCTATAGACGTGTTCAGGCACCATGGCAGTCAGTATAATAAATCTATAGACTTGTTCAGGCACCATGACAGTCAGTATAATAAATCTAAAGACGTGTTCAGACACCATGGCCGTCAGTATAATAAATCTAGAGACGTGTTCAGACATCATGGCAGTCAGTATGATAAATCTAGAGACGTGTTCAGACACCATGGCAGTCAGTATAATAAATCTAAAGACGTGTTCAGACATCATGGCAGTCAGTATAATAAATCTATAGACGTGTTCAGGCACCATGGCAGTCAGTATAATAAATCTATAGACTTGTTCAGGCACCATGACAGTCAGTATAATAAATCTAAAGACGTGTTCAGACACCATGGCCGTCAGTATGATAAATCTAGAGACGTGTTCAGACATCATGGCAGTCAGTATAATAAATCTAAAGACGTGTTCAGACACCATGGCAGTCAGTATAATAAATTTATAGACGTGTTCAGACATCATGGCAGTCAGTATAATAAATCTATAGACGTGTTCAGGCACCATGACAGTCAGTATAATAAATCTAAAGACGTGTTCAGACACCATGGCCGTCATTATAATAAATCTAGAGACGTGTTCAGGCATCATGGCAGTCAGTATGATAAATCTAGAGACGTGTTCAGACACCATGACCGTCAGTATAATAAATATAAAGACGTGTTCAGACACCATGGCCGTCAGTATAATAAATCTATAGACGTGTTCAGACATCATGGCAGTCAGTATAATAAATCTATAGACGTGTTCAGGCACCATGACAGTCAGTATAATAAATCTAAAGACGCGTTCAGACACCATGGCCGTCAGTATAATAAATCTAGAGACGTGTTCAGACATCATGGCAGTTAGCATGATAAATCTAGAGACGTGTTCAGACACCATGACAGTCAGTATAATAAATCTAAAGACGTGTTCAGACATCATGGCCGTCAGTATAATAAATCTAGAGACGATATCATATCCCTTTGTCAAATTAGGGGAGAGGATAGGTATCATTAAATGCAAGCCAGTTGTTCCTGTCGCTAGACATGTCGTGTAATCAACAGCCAGACACGTCTATTTCAAGATCAGTGTCTTGAAATATAAGCTGGCAAGGATGAATAAACAAAAAAAAAAAATGGCGAGACTTTGGCGAGCTGCTTTTGTCCGTCTATCCGGAAATAAAATGTAGTTTATATTCTATTTATCCTTCAACATTCTGACTAGTTCAGTAGTTTGTTGTGTATATTCAGTCAACTGACGTTCTCTCCCAGATCGCATTGCGTTACCCAAAAACACTTCTGTAGTCGGCTTCCGCTATTTCAAGATTCTTGGAAGGTGTATTTGTGTCAAATGATAAGTATTTTGTTATTTTTCTGTTTTGTTATTCGTATCATTATTTTGAAAATAGATGTTTGTTCATCTGGAAAATGACTATTTTAGTTTATATGGTTATAAACATTATGGATTATTTCGCGGAAGATTAACTTTGAGTAAACAGTCACCAACCGTAGTCTTTCATTTTGTACTTTCACTTTTCAACTACCGACTTTTTCTTGATATATAGTGTTACCAGTGATAACCAATGATAATTTGTCTCCAATATTTGCACATAACATCTCAAAAAGCGCAAATTATGTTTTTTATGCTGTTCGATGACATGCAAAACAGTCTACAGATGGGTCCTTCGTTGAATTTGTCACGGATGCCGCCATTGTGGTGCACGACGCCATACTTTGACTCTGACCATGATGTCAATCATTGTCAGTCTGTCAGCCATTAACATGGGTGTATTGTGATTGTTAAAGAACGACAACTCTGGTAGAGATTGGTTGACGTTATGTTGAACTATGCCCAATGGCAAAATAATTGCTCGGCGGAAAGAAAGTTCCACACTTCAACGGATAAGAAATAGCAAACTCTAATTCTGAATTAGATTTTTTTTCAATTTTTGACTAAATCAGAAAGTAATTCTGTCAAATTAATGCACTACTTAAATACAGATGAAATATATGTGTCAGGTATGTTCCTCAGACAATGGTATTGCCAACTGCAGGATATATATATATATAGATAACACAGAAACGTTCTACATTTTTGTTGTATTCACATAAACGGATTATACATAAACATGGTCGGAAATAGGGGTATACCTGGGGTCTTTCTGCTCCCTAATAAGGAAAGTTTCATATTGGCCCTGGACTAATGCGTGAGCCCACCATTGGGGTGAAACTAGGACTACCCATCATTCCGGAAGCACCTGAACTGAAAGATCCCCCCATTCCATCCCCACCCATGTGTACCCCTTTCATAGCCCAATGATTTGCTATTGAATTTTGTCTCGCGGCAAATTCTAATTGTTGTTGTTGCTGCTGCTGCTGCATAAGTTGTTGTTGCTGCATTTGTTGTTGTTGCTGCATTTGTTGTTGCTGCTGCATTTGTTGTTGTTGCTGCTGCTGCATTTGTTGTTGTTGTGCCATAGCAAACATTGCACCGCTACCACCAGACTGCATTGTTCTGTCACCTCCTGCGCCGCCGAAATTCAAAAAGGCTCCCCTTTCTCCTCCTCCTCCCGAATTTGAATTTGAGATTGAGCCGTCAGAAGCAGCAAAGTCTCGATGAGATCCGACGGAGCCGTCTGTTGCAGCAAAATCATATTGCCCATTCCCTCCTTCAAAGTTTGTGTAGAAATATTTTAGGGGTGGTGGCACAACAGTGAAATAGATAGGGATGTAATAAGGTACTCTTACAATGTTCACCTGTCTGTACGAAGGCACCTGATAGCGAACTGAGCCATACTGGGGATACTGAACATACCGCTGTGTAGCTCGCCCATAAGGCCTTGTTAAACCAGAGTTAGTGGCAAGTCTGCGGACAAAAAACTGTCTGCCACTTCCCACTGAGAAACCGGATGTTGGGGTCACTGTTGTTGTTGGGGGGTCGTCACAGTCCACTGTGTGAAACAGAACGAGTAGCAACAATGGTGCCCAAATTAATGCCACGGGAGACGCCATGTTGTCAGATGTTTCTTTAAATATAGTACCTGTAAGAATACAGAGGGATAACATTGTAGCATGTAAGAAGGTATGGAAGCAAACAGCGGTTTATATGCTACACAATTTCCTGACAAAAGGATGATATGATTTAAGCACTTTTAGCAGTTGATACACTATTGAAGTTTTAAACCTATAAAAATTGATAAACAATGTTTTTTATTAAACGTATTTGCAACATGTTTGATTAATTCAGTAGGTTCGGATTAAACACTGAAACGACCCTTTACAACTTTTTCATATGAATTGACATATAAATAACGAGATACGAAATTTTCGTAACGACCATGAACTAAATATTTAGACGAACTTCTCCAATACTTTCAATGTCGAGAAAAATGAGTGGATAAACTGATGTGACATAGGAAAACAAAGTTCTGTTTGTAATGAGAATTAATCGGTGAAAATGAACGACTATTCTACTGCAATAGTTTCTGTGTAAAACACAATACAAGCAGGAACCTTAAACAACTTTCTGCATTTGTGTAACCATACAACATAGTATCACAACTTGAGTTCAATAGAAGATGTACAAAGTATAACTATAATAGATGGAAGCTGATAAATTAATCATCTCGAAACGATACAATTTTACACAACAATGTGCTGATAGATGCTTTCATTAGAATATTTGTATTCGAAACAAAACAATTTTCGCATTTTCATATGATTCGAGTGTATAAAGGTCTATTTATGTCTTCCATATGATACATCTGCTAACTTTATGGAAATGCCACTGTATAAATTAATAACATTATCATACTAATATTGATTTCCTGTAATAAAATCTTCAAAGTCTTTCTTCATTCACGAACGATCCAATAAATACATGTGAAACAAATGAAACGCATGTTTATATATATCTGATAATGTCATACATACATACATACATACATACATACATACATACATATAATGCGAAGTCGATCATACTTTTAAACTTTCATTCCAATATATAGAGAAATAAACACATTTACGTTACCTTTGAAAATTCGGTTTATCGGTTTATCTCACTCCAGATAATATGTTGGTGAAATCACCTATCTAATGACATCTCCGTGTAAAGTCCAGTTTCTGGAAAAAAGATACCTGTGATCTGATATATGTAAGTATATTGAACCTACGTAGGTCATGAATGTCCGAAGGCTGGATTACGAGGTTGTTTATTTGCAAAAAAGAAAGAAACAAACAGAAGTTCTGGTCTCGTCACTGCAGCGAAAGTTATAGAAAATCGGCGTATCACCTATGATTGTCGGAGGTAAAGACAAATGGAATTAATTTCTTAGCTCTGGAGTAATCTAATGAGATTCGGTTGGTATAAAGAATGAAAATGTAGCGTAACGTTACAGCTGTTTCCATCCTTCGAGGACTGTTCTGTGATGCAAGGGGTCGAAACTGTAGAAAATCCATGACTTAAGTTATAAAACTTAACACCGATTTGTTAAAAATTAAGTGGAGGCAATATCCGCGTGATGTAATCTTTTTGATGAATGTTTCAAATGAATGTTAGATATGTATGCGTATTCCTGACGTGTGACATCATTCATACGAATTTGCAAGATAAAGCAAGCAGGATTCGGCACACTTGAGGACCCTAGAATGCGATGAAGAAAAATAAAAGTGATCAAAAGAAGATTTAAAAACTAGACGGTGATGTATAGCAGTCCCATTATTAGATAAATTTCGTAAATTTCCTACTTCAGATAATATTAGAATATCGTCAGGTACATATGTATTTTCGGAACCGTGCCACTATGGCAAGCAAGTTGCGGCAAACCTCGGAGACTTAAAGACCACCATTAGAGTCTACCACCTTAAATATTGTACAAACGACACACAAGTGAATAGCACCATTTCATAATTTAGAGTGAGATACAGTAGAGCCAAACTATGAATTAAACTGCATCATACAGCTGTTTCATCCTTCAAGGACTCAACAGTGATGCTAAGGGCCTAAAATGTGAAGCCTAGTAGGCGACTTAGAAAAATCCAAAGTGATCAAAAGAAAAGTCAAAATCTAGAGGGGGAGATGCAGAAGCCCTCATACATCAGATAATTAAAGAATAGTGTAAAGTACATGTGTATTTTCTGAACCGTACAACTATTCAAGTGATCTTTCTTTTGCTCATATTTTCCCTGGTTTTATTGAATTTAAGTTTGGATTGTGATTATGTTGACATGTTGGTAGTTTGTTTTTAGAACTGATGATGTTTTTTTTATGTATTGGTTTGTATACCTTGTTATGAATATTTATTTATCAACTTTGAAAATGGTTCTAATTTTGAAAACAATTACAATATCATGGACACTCTGACGACTAAATAGGAATTCAAATTAATTGCCCTTCCGTTAAAGAATCTCTATAAATAATAAGTATTCGTCCCATTGCAGTTGAACATACAGTTGAAGTGTCATATTGCTTCTATATAGTTTATATACAAGATGTCAGCATTTGTGGTATGAATATCCCCTTTTTTATCTCGTCGATGTCTATTTCAAATAATTATATAATTGTCAGACAGCAAATGTAAAAATATATCATATACAACAAGATGACTTCTCTAACAAAGCAATGTATGAAGGATCTTATTCACTTACACAGTCGACACTCTATGCGTCCCTGTGTAATTTATGTTTGTTTTATAGGTATCTGTAGGTCACAGGCTTGCATTGAATACGACGTGGTCCTACATGGCAGGAATCGTGACAAATCCCAATACATGTAGCCATTAAATTTTAGTCGATTTCATTAAACCACTAATATAGAAAACCATTGTCAACGGTTGTTGTCAACAATGTGAATTAAACGTTTCGTTTTTCAATCAAATCAGCAATTTCAATTATTCATGTCGTTTTCCTACTGTATTTAGATTGCTGTGTTTCATATTCGATCGTTCGTCCGTCAGGTGCTTGCTAAGAGTTAATTATCGCCATGTGATAACGTTTCCTGATGACCCGTAATGAGGGGACAGGTTGGCAGATGACGACACACTTTACGGAGTAGAGATCAGGGGTCGAAGCTAAACGTCACCACTTTTACACCCTTTCCATATTTAAATATGGCGTGGTGTCGCTTTTAATTCTGTGGCACAAAACACATTAAATGGCAATAACTATGGGGTCATAAAGTTTTTTTTTCACTAATGAATTTTAATAACTATGAATAATAAAAGCACGACATTATAAAAGAATTAAATATGTTTGTGTGTGTTCTGCATATATATCATCATACATCAGTATTCAGGCATTGTAAAAAATAAAATATTAACGCTGATCATAAAGATTTCAAAATAATATGGTGTAAAGATAGTATTACAGCATAACCTTGAACGTAGTTGATACAAATATATAAGGATGTTTGCTTTGATTCTCCGACTCCAAAAAATACATTCTAAAGTGATGCATTTTCAATACCAAAACTTATATAAATAATGCATTGAAGACGTTTGCATTGCATACCAAACGAAAGGAAACATCGCTGTAGATGGCTTTGCAGTGTCTCTTAACATGAGGAAATAAAACATTTTCATGACCAAAAGAAATATAACACAACAATATTGCTTGAAATGTTTTTCCTGGTTACAGTTCACCGAATATTTTATATACTCAAGTTTTTTACAGTGTAGCAGTGTAAGACAAACAATAGCAGCTCTACTCACATAAAATAAAGATAATAAACCTAGTTCCATAATTAAGAACGTCGAAGTGTAATACACATGATCCTTTCAATTCGATAATATGTTCAAATTCATTTTTTATGAAACATTAAACGTACTGGAAGAACTTACCTTGAAAGTACCTGGGTAGGAATGCTGATCTGGAAGAAGACTTAGAAGTTTGTGTTGGTGGGACCGTGGGACATCCTAACCTATACCCCTCGCTGATTTATGTTACTGAGGACAACAATTAAAATAGCCATAAATAAATTACGTATCACGTCACCAACCACAAAACAAAGTTATAATCTAGTGATGGGTTAAACAGATGACCCCGTCAACAAACACTTCTACATGATAAATTTGCTGTTCCGCGCGTTACAAGCTTAAGTTTAAGTCATTTTTGTTATGATGTATCATTTCTATTATAAAAAACATACCCGCATTCTTTAAATTATCACCTAATCCTTTCTCAGTTATCGTTTTTTATCAAATGGTCATATCAAATATCTGTGAACTACTTTGAGATAATGATAGAACACCTTGCAAACCTTACCACGCTTTAGATGTTACTAAGTCCTAACATATAGATCTCACAAGGCATATGATCTGAAGGAACACTGTAGCAATGGGGTTTAGCTGGAGGGCATGGCGCCATCGTCTAATTGTCTATTTTCTGTTCCTGGTGTTGTTGTTGTTTTTTTAAATAAAGGTACATGAATGTCTACGATGAAAACAATACGTATTAATTATTTATATTTCATGTGGTTGATCTGACAAAATGTCCACATTCACAATAGTACAAAGTGACATAAGTCTGTCGCCATGTTTCAGCAGTAACGCGTGATCTTTCTAAAGGTAGAACAAGGACGGTTTTTGTATTGACAACACATCGTTATCAAGTGTAAATGAATATATGATTTACTGTCGATCACTTAAGAAAGATGTCCTGGTCGTAATAATTTGATGGTGGTTTATAATGTAATGTTTGTTAGTTTTATCTCCATTACAAAGTTGCTGAGAACTTAGTAAAAATAGAGATAGATGTTTCAGCCATCTGACACTTAGACAAGATATACAACAAGGTACTGTTTCACTATTTACAGTAATACTCTCTCTCAGAAGACATGTCAAGTAATCAATCTACAAATGAGTCCCGAGTCCGGTAATTTTTATGGAACTCGTAGAATTTCTGGAAACACTTTGATATTGCTGGACTCATTGTTTTAGCAATAAAGTTGAAAAGGACTCATGAAAACAAATTGTAGATTGATCGCTGAATCTCATCAGTTTTTTTTTTTTTTT